GCCTATTCATTTCAAGACACGTAAAGTCTGGGAGAAAAGGTCTCTGGCTATCTCTCCAGGACCCCGAGTTTTCGCTAGAAGCCCCCATCTCCGGGGAAATCAACAGGCTTTCCTCTTAGATACCGGCGCTGACGTGAGTCTCATCAGTTTCAGAGCTCTAAGATCGTCAGTTCCTATCGACTCCTCGTCTATCATTCTTATCAAAGGCATTGGCCAGGGAGGTTTGTTCTCCATGGGTACTGTACGCCTCAAAATGTTTGGTACTTCAATCCTTTTCCATGTCATGGACACGGAATTACCCATAGAAGGCGTGGGTATAATTGGCAACGACGTCCTGAGCCAGGAAAGAGCCGAAATCTCCTATGCAGAACAAACAATCGTTTTCCTCAGTGCTCCCACTAAGCCTTTCACTTTTTCTCGTTCTCTACGACCCACTAACAAGTATATTGTTCCCCCTCGTTCTCGCATGGTCATCGCGGTGCCCGTCCAGAATACCAATCTGACTGAGGGGTATCTACCCCGTGTCGACCTAGGCCCCAACCTCTTGTTGGGCGAAGCTGCTGTCTCTATCTCAGAACAAGGGGCGACCTGTTTCATAGTAAACACGTCAAACGCCCCTCAAGAGGTCGAAATCCCACCACAGATCATCGAGGAATTTACATATGCCGACGATGAGGCACTGGATTCTGATGACGACGATCCAGACCCCACTCTGGCGCAGCTGCCCGATGATTTGGATCCTCAGACTCGGTTGGAGCGGGTACTCAACGAAGTACCTTTGGACTATCTCTCGCCAGAATTACGCCAACACGCTCTCTCTCTCATTCGGGAAAATTCTGACGTATTTACTCCCTCAGGCGAACGAATAGGTTGCTATAAAACCAAGCGCTGCAAAATCCCCACGACGGATAATAAAGCAGTAAAGGTGAAGCAATAGAAGATCGCGCTCAAGGGGCAGGACCGATTATTGACTACAGAGACGCTAACACATCTCTAGACACGTCTAATACACAAACAAGGTCGCCAAATACTCAAACCCACCCAAGAGGCCCACCCAGAAACAACACGCCAGCTCAAGTACAATCAACGACAGAAAGAGAGATACCTACACTCACGCCCGGAGCCCCAGTAGTCGTCGAGCTCCCATACGCAGAAGACTCGGACTCCGAGGAGACGGGGCTGGTGGAGACCATTGCTGAGGAATCGACGGAGACCCCACGTATTTCCTCATCTGCACGAGAAGCGAATTCGTCTCAGGAATTAAGCGCCCTGACAGAGCCAGAACTCGAGTCCCAGAGACCCGAAACTGGGGGGACGACTCCGCCTCAAGGGGCAAGTGGATCTCAGGAAGAGATGTCTCCACAGAGGTCTCCGACTCAACCAATACTAACAACTCCTCTTGCTTCTTCTCGTAGCCTCGACGATCTGGCGTTGGCTCGCGACGACGAACGGACTCCGGTCGCTGTCATCTTCCCTCGTCATCCAGTCCCCCCGGGTATCATCGAGAACGTAAGAGCAACCATAGACCTTTATGACAGAACAATGAGAGAAAGGGAGAATGAAACACTGGTGGAAAACCAGTTAGAACACTCCATCGGGCCTGAGGGCGACCAAGCGGAGGACGAGGAGGAGTCAAGCCAGGAAGAAACAGATGAAAGCATAGGGAGCAGCGATGAAGAAGGAGAAGCCGAAGCTACTCTCCCGTTCCTCCAGAACCAGGCTGACCTCAACCTAACTCCTTTCCAAGATATGTTTTGGGACAAAGGCGCCTACCAACAACTTAATTCCCCAATCCCTTCCACGTCCTCCGTCAACCCTCCTCCACCACGGCCCCTCTACTACCCAGGCCGACCATCAACGCTCCCCACATTCGATGCAGGCGTTGTCCCGATCGCCAACTCAAGTATCCTTCCACCAACCCCACAAGTCATAGCCGATGCACCGTCGCAGATGGACGTGGAGTCTGTGACAAAACTAGCGGAAGCACCAGTTCCACAGGAAACAAGGGGGAAAGCCGCAGGACCCCTACTCGAAGCCTCCCCCACAGTCATCGAAAGAGGGGTCCAACCTTCATCTTCGATCGTGGAGACTCGCACACCGCCTCAGCCAGGAAAAGGAGTCGAAATCCCACCAGGACCGCTGGTTTTCGCCGACGAGGATCCTCATAAGGACGTACCACTCCAGGTGGCTATCTCTCCCCCGGTTCCAGAGCCTCCCGAGGCTGTGTTAGGCCTCATAACGTCTCGAGACGGACTTACTTATGTTCGGGATAATATCGTCCATTTTCTCTCAACGGACTGTGAATTGACACAACCGGTTTCTAAACTCCTACAGGCGCTCAAGTATATCTCCAAGGATGATCTTAAGGCCGCGAACCCACAGGTGGGGCAGATCTTCGCCACCCCCTTGGGCAAGCATAAGGTCTTTACGGTCTTCCTCAAACCTCATCATTTTGATAAAGTGACCCCCGAGCAGATCGTCCTCGCCTCGACAAACCTCAAGCTTGCAATCGAGTATTATCGAATTTCCTCTCTGCGCATAGCAGAAGGAGGTGACGAACTCGGCGGAAACATTCGCCCATATCTGGTTTCGGTCTTCTCCTCATGCCCGGTTTCTATCATTCTGGCGCAAGGAAAGATTGAGTATCCTTCTGAGGACAAGAGACCCGAGATCATCAGAGAACCACGACACCCTGATGGGAGGTCACAGGGGGGTCGTAAAAACATATCACCGCATCAGGCAATGGTTCTATTGGACCGGCATGAAACAACAAATATATGAGTATGTACAGAGTTGCACTACATGCCAGACCGAGAAGTTGAACCGCATCAAAAGGAAGAAGCCAGCCATCATCACCGACACTTCCTTTGAACCTTTCGAGAAAATATCGATAGATACCGTAGGCCCTCTGGAGATGACTCCGGACGGCAATCTGCACATTCTTACAATCCAAGACAACTTCTCCAAGTTTTGCTGCGCAGTTCCTTTACCTGATATTCGGACTCAGACGATTTCGGAGGCCTTGGTTACTCATTTTATTTGCTTCTACGGGTGCCCTAAGGTCATTTTGTCTGACCGTGGTACCTCCTTCACTAGCAAACTTCTAGCCAAGTTAGCCAAAATCCTGAGGATTAAGCGGGTTTTAACATCGGCATATCACCCGCAATCCAATGGCTCGCTGGAGAGATCACACCACCCTCTCGTGGAATACCTTCGCTCCTTCGTTACGACATATCACGATTGGGACAGGTATCTGCCGATGGCCATGTTTAACTATAACACTACGGTCCACACGGCCACCCAGTTCACTCCATTTGAACTTTTGTATGGTAAGGTGGCACGCGCCCCTACCGCACTCCCTGACTTCTCGGAGATTAACACATATCCAGAAGCCTTGGAAAATCTGATCACCCGACTATCAGAGGCTTGGCGCATGGCGCGAAAAAATTTGATTAGAGCCAAGGAGAAATCAAAGGAACGCTCTGATAAAGGCATAAGGGAACTTTATCTTCAGAAAGGTGATTTGGCCTACGTGTACGGGTATAGAGGTGGACCCCTCCTCGTGGGTATACCTGGTAACTCTGCCCTTATTATAACGGGACAGAGGCTAAGAGCCACCACTACCACTACCTCCTATATTGTCATGTCGTAGATCTCTTAAGAAGGCACGTTGGTATTGAGTTCTTAATAACCCAAGCCACAGTCGTCGGCCAGTGCGGGGTGTGATGATCTAATCCACGGGGGTGGCTAGATAATCGCACGTAGACCGCTTTCCGGAGGTCCGTCCTTCCTCCGGAAACATTGTAAGACGATACTGCGAAGGTTATTTCATCCTCCATATTTGATTGGTCGTAAACGAGGATTCATCCTTTGGTTTTCTAGTTTACAAAGGTGTTCCTCGAGGCCTTGGCCGGCCCCTCCACTGTGGCGCCTGTGATGTGGGCAAGGGAGCGTGTTGGGCAAGCCCAACACGTTCCCTGTTTTTCTTTTTTTAATTCTTTTTAGAAAGCAATACGTACCTATACAAGTACGCCATGGAATTTCTTCAAAAATCTTTTTCTTTTTTTTCTTTTTCTTTCTCTGTTTTCATACTATGTTTACTATACTACATATACACTACCAAAATATGTGTCATGTCTACAGAAATGCACATAAGCTAACCGCCCAGAAACTTTATGTTTTCAGAACCAATACGTATCTCTAAACGACACGTTTCTCGATACTACACATATCACAGGGACTACCGCCCTCAAGGTACTAAGCAAAACATGGAATCAAGCGTAAATAAGAAAATATCCGCAAGTAAAACCGGCCCCACTCGGAGTTTGCGGCGGGGCCATTACTTACGCGTGAGGCCAGAAAGGCTGCAAGAGTCAACTGGAATCCACACCAACAACAAGGATGGATCAAGAAGACGACCCTGGAACATGGAAACCTCAGCACCAGCAGAGGTCCGAAACGTCCGACAGGGTGTCAAGTTGGCCTCGCGCGCACTGCCTTCTGGCGCTCTCGCCCACAGCCAGTCTCCGAACCTGGCCACGCGTACGCGATCGCGATCGGTCCGTCCCAACCACGCGTCGCGACATGAGCTTGCCCAGTCAAAGGCGTGCTTTGTGCTCCTAAATCGACTGGATGCTCGAGTAGGCCCTATAGGCCGAATACTCCAAATCAGGAACTGCTCGGTAAGCCTCACCCGACCAAAAATGAGCAGCCCCCCCGGGCCCCGCATTCTTAGCATAGAAAGAGTATCTCTTGACCTCTCGCAATGGAGAGCTGCTGTTAGGGCTCGACAGCGGGTCTCCACAGAGGCAACTGATGCTAATAATGATAATAGTAATAATAATAATAACAATAGCAACCATATTATTATTATTGATATTAATAATAATAATAATGATAATAATAATAACAGTTGCGATGCTGCCAATGCTCACGATCATTGTTGTTGTAGTTATAATGAAGACAACAACAATGTACTGTTATTACAGGAGCCCTACTCCATGAATGCCGGTTCACAAGGCTACGCAGTTAGAGGATTTGGCCAAGCCATAGTCGCTGCAAAAACCCTTAAACGGGAAAAACCCAAATCGGCCATTGTTGTAGTCAACCCTCTCCTCAAGATGCTCTACATAGACGAACTAAGCACTGCACACTGTACGTGTGCCCTCATTGAAAAGCTTGGATATTCGTTCTACGCTATCTCACACTACTTTCAACATAAGGACCCAATCGAAATCCATATCGGACACTTAAGAAAGGTCCTAACGACCCTTAGAGGCAAGCAAGTTCTTATCTGTATGGATGCGAACGCCCGATATCCTCTGTGGTCACTAGACGTCGATACCAGAGGGGAAAAGCGTGCAAACTTCCTCACCGAATTCGGTCTTGAAGTTCTCAATAGAATTGAAGAAGGCCCCACTTACAGCTCCCCAAGAGGGGAATCGCACATTGACGTGACCGTAGCTACTCAAGGACTGTCACAGTACCTTAGTAAATGGTCAGTCGAGAGAGAGTGGGTACAGGGATCGGACCATATGGCCATCGGAATCCAGCTTGGTCGAAGCGAAGTGCAGGGTGCAACTTACACGGAGACAACCCGACGGTTCAATGTCAAAGCAGCCGATTGGGAAGCCTTTGGAAAGCTGATACCCGAGCTAGAGAGCACACTTTCCGCTGGACCACCGCTGGACTCTCCGATGAACATTGACAGATTCGCTGTCACTCTCGCAGATGAGTTAACGGACATTTGTGAAAAGTCCATGCCACGACGTAAAGCACCAAGGAAAGCGAATCCTTGGTGGAATAGCCACCTATCCTGCCTGAAGCGCAGCGTTTACAGACTACGCCATAGATCCCAACGTACCAAGAAGCTTGGTACAAGCGCCCACCGAACCACGACGGCGAGACTCCGATACCGCCAGCAGGTAAGGATGTACTCCAGAGAAATCAAAAGAGCGAAGACAGACAGCTGGAAGAAGTTTGTTACAACCCACGGGACGAGGAAAAATGGGACGTAGTATACAAACTTGCAGCTGATAAGATCCAAGCCGAAAAGGTCATGAATGCGCTCCGCACTAAAGAAGGCGGCGAGACCTTGGACTTCAAGGAAACAGCCGAGCGATTGCTGGCAGTTCATGTAGTCGACGACCACCCGGAAAAAGACACAGATAAACAGAGCAGATTAAAGAAAAACGCTCTCAACCTACCTAACACAGAGGATGCAGAACCATTCAACAAAGAAGAACTGAAGCAAGTCGTCCGAACGCTTAAGAACGGAAAAGCTCCAGGACTAGACTTGCTAGAAGTGGAGGCCGTTAAACGCGCAATCACGTACCTCCCAGAAAGATTTCTGGCACTATTCAACGAATGCTTGAATCAAGGTGTCTTTCCTCGGGCTTGGAAGGAAGGTACAATTCGTATGCTCATGAAAAGTCCCGACAAAGATGTGGCGGACCCTAAATCATACCGCCCTATATGCCTTTCATCAGTACTAGGCAAAATTTTCGAAAGACTTATAAAAATTCGTCTTTCAGCTAGCGTCCTTAAACAAGGAAACATTTCTGATCACCAGTATGGATTTATGGAAGGACGATCAACTGTGGACGCGATACTGACGGTGCGAAGAGCGGTGCAAGAGTCCACAGAACGTAATGTGGTTGCACTACTCTTCGATATCTCAGGCGCGTTTGATAATGTATGGTGGCCCTTAGTCCTCGAGGGACTAAAGTCACGAAACTGCCCTAAAAATATCTACAAGGTAATGCAAAATTACTTTACAGATCGCACAGTTAGCCTATCATGGAGAACTGATTCAACCACAAAAGTGGCCACGCGTGGATGCCCCCAGGGATCTGTGCTCGGCCCACTGTGTTGGAACATCATGTTCGATGATCTTTTAAAAACACTTGATCAGTCCGAACATGGAAAACGATACGCAGCATACGCAGACGATCTAATCGTCATCATTGATGGCAATTCAAGGGAGGCACTTGAAGCCAAAGGACAGGCAGTTGTTGACACAATACTCAATTAGTGCAAGAATGCCAAGCTCGAGCTGTCAAAAACGAAGACGGAAGCAATCTTCATAAAGAGAGAAGTAAAACTCAGAGGCAAGAGGAACTACAGGGATAAAAACAATCCCAACAACAGAGAATATAAGCCACACCTAAGAAGAAAGAAAGATAGGCATGAATGCAAACCGCCCAAGATTACAATAGATGGCAAAAAAATAAAATACCCAGAAACGGTTAAGTACTTGGGGGTCTGGTTCGGAAGAGATCTTAACATATCCATGCATATCCATAAACGACGGGCGCAAGCGGAAAAGTTATTCCACAAAATAAGGCGCCTTTCGCGAATGCGATGGGGACTTAATTACCATACCTGCCTAACCCTATATAGGGGGTGCTTCCTGCCGGTGATTGCTTACGCGTCTCCGGCATGGAGCGACTCGTGCAATGCTAAGGACTGGCTGACGCTTGCGGCCGCACAGAGGAGCGTCTTGGGAGTTGTGGCGCATGCTCGCGCATCCACTCCGAGAGACGGCCTCTGCGTGGCGGTGGGCGTCCCACCTATACGCATAGCGATTAATGATCTCAACGCGCGATATACACTTCGCACCGATGAAGTAGTAACGTACAACGGCACTAGAATCTCCCTAAACGACAATACGTCAGGGGAGACGACGACGCCGATTATGAACCTCAGATTGCAGACGACCAAAATATGGCAGGCAGAATGGGATGCATCTGAGACGGGCCGCAAAACATATCACTTCTTCCCGAATATAGCAGACAGGCTCGATAACCAGTGGATACGCCTGAACAATATAATGACGCCAATATTCACAGGACATGGTATATTCCGAGCACACCGTGCACAATATGCCACCGAAACAGACCCAACCTGCCCTAATTGCAATAGGGGAGATGAGGACACAGTGGAGCACTTCCTGCTGCACTGCCCCGCATACAAAGACAGACGCACGAGCCTCATGGCAGTCATAGAATCGGAAACGAATGTTGACCTCAGATCAACATGGTCTGAAATAGCGCCGAAATTTGTCCAAACGAAGGACACATGTAGGGCCCTCGAACAATTTGTCAAGCTTTGCGGAGAACAAAAATTGTTCGAGGAAGTTAAAAGAATCCGCAATGCGGTAAGAGAGAAAAGGAAGGTAGCGCGAACTGGAGTGGTAACGCCCAGCACACAGAGTGCACAGAACCCTCCATCCCGCAGAAGTAGTAGGTCATTACCATTACCAGCGCCGTAAGAAAGCATAGCTCGTGAACTTCATTGATCCACACCTGAGTGTTGTCGGAGCACCTAGGCACAGGTTGCAGGCCTGCAATCTTCGCAGAACACCTGAAACCTGTGGATCAAACGGATAGGGATTCCCACCTAACAATGCTCAACAAACATTCAAATTCAAATTTTAACTTCAAACACAAACTTTAACTTCAACTTTAACTTCAAACTTAAACTCAAAAACTTAAAACAAACAATAATAATAATAATAAACTTTAATATTTCAGGAAACATCAAAAACTAACCATTTTTCTCTTTCAGCTGTTGACAATATAACAGTGCTCCCCTCAAACCAAAAACAACTGGGGCCGCCGACCAAAGCGGATAAAACTGGTACTACGGGAGACTGAAATCCAAGCCCGCATCCGGAGCTGCAAAGTCGAAAAACGATATGCAGAGAGCCGGGTGTTTTCGGTCAATTGAGGTTGGACTCGTAGTGGTATGTCGTAAGGCCTTGGGCTAGATGCGTGTATCCTCGTGCCTTTATAAAGGCGCAAGTATATCACGTCCCAAGTAACGCCGTCACTAGAAGTAGAGCTATCCCCAGAGTTATGCCCGTTAAGGCGAGGTACTCAAACAGGGAAACAAGGCTTTGGCCTACGTGTACAAAGAACCACGGAAGGGCAAGTTGGACGTGTACTGTGTCGGTCCGTTCGAGGTGGTGGACTTCACCGAACACGGTAACGTCGTCCTAGAAACGTCCGAGGGCGAGCGTTTTGTCAAACACCCGGAAAAACTTAAGAAGAAAGTTGAGCGTTCCAACTCAGACATGCTCTCAGAAGCCCCGGCTTAGTTGCGTAGTCAATTACGCCAGGGCTGAAATCCTTGTGGCTAGCTTGCGCATGACACCTTCTATTGCATGTACAAACATACAGGAACTGTGCTCTACACTATCCCGCATCTAGCATCCACCTTTATTCATAGATAACTACACTCTCTCGCCTAATTAACTAAATGGTCTTATCTTGTTTTTGAAAAAAAAAGGGAGATGTAGCAGCAGGACCCCAGACTCCAGGGGCCAGGACCATGGGTAGTTCTGACTCGATTACACCCTGGATCTGCGAGGACCGGCCGGCAGGGGGTCGCTGCCCAAGGACCAGCCCTCCCCTCACCGGGCCCATCACCATCCAACAGCACCCCTTTCCGCGTCCTGATCGACCACCCCCTGCCTCTGCAACCCCCTCCCCGGCCTGACAGGTTTTCCGACGCCGAGCTCCAGGCCATCATCGAACGGGATGGGGAAGTTATGCGCCTGCTCTGGGAATTCGTGGATGAAGTCCGTCTTCTGGAGCCAGGCGAGTATCCTTCCCTCAACGAGTTCGATGAGGTCTGGATGCGGGCCTTGGAAATCAACCTGACTTGCCGGAGGAGGGTGGCCAGGGTAAGGAGGCAGTGAGTTGAGCGGGAGCGGAGAAGGAGGGAACGCCTGGCCAGGAGAAGACGTAGGGGGCCTCCAGCGGCCTGAACCCGCTGCCCACTGCTCGGTCTGACGCCGCGTGGGCTAGAGGAGCTGCCGCCACCTACTAACCATCACTCTCCTTATTATTATTATTATTATTATTATCATTATTATTATTTTTATTATTCCCCCTTTCTAAATAAATCTAATAACTCAATAGTTCGGAATTAGTTTAATTAAATAAACCATATCAACCATTATATGCCCAATCTAATCCCATCCTTATATTCATTTCGAAACCAACTATAAACTCCACGAAAACTTCTCTGTCTAGATTGGAATGAATTAGCTAGTAATACTTCAAATTTTATCCACCCGGTCGGAGCTATTTCAAAGGGCTTGGGCAAATCTCTTTTCTCCTTTCTCTATTATATACATATATTTGTATTCTACGCCACTACTCTAACGTTATTGTAATCATGATACTAATGGACTTCCTAGCCACCCCCCACTCTCTTTACCGGTGGCTACTATTGTCCCCTGCCCCTTTTCGTCTCTTATGGCTCTTTATCTCCTACCTTGAGGCCTCAAACTCACACAGTGATCTTTTATCATCGAAAGAAGGACGATGTCGAGCCACACTGGTTCTCCACCCCAAGGGAAGCAATCCAACCCAGAGACCGTCAATCAGAGGCCTTGGAGCCCGACTCAGTGCATTCAGCCGAGTTCGAGTGATGGTGCTCCTCGAAATCCTACTGCGTAACACCTCCCCCCTTAAGTCAAGTCGCATCGAGAAGATTAACGATGTGACTTGCTCCGGTGTAGGAAGATGCTGGTTGTTTTAGCTGGTGGTTGGTCGTTGTCCTCGGTGGATTCCAGTTGCTCCCGTAGCTTGCTGTAGAGGATTGGCGTTGACAATGTCATTTCGACGCTTTCCGACGTTTGAGCTTCCGACGATGCCACTGGAACTGACTTCCTAACTGCTGGTACTGGTTGTTCGACGACAACTTCCTCCACTGTTTCGTTATTTACTAATTTCTGTCTTAGCTTCTTTTGTTTTCGTACTAGTTTCTCGGCGACAGTTCCCCAGATGGCTGCACATAGATACACGCTGCAACCATAGACTCCGTGGAGCGCGTAGCCGTGTAGAACTGTATTAAGTAGCCATACTATGGTCTGATAAATGAAGATTATGGCCATGACCGGCGCTGGCAGAGCCGAACTGAATGAATCCTCGCCACACCCTTTTTGCTGTACTTTCAGCAATGTGATTGAGAGTATTTTCGTCGAGTAGTTTTATTATGTTGAGAG